ATGGTCGGTCCCCGATAGCGTCGGAAGGTTGGTAAGGTAGGGTGATCGATAGCAGGTCAGGTCGATAGCGGCGAGAGCGATCGGTAATTAGATAGCGGTAGAACGCCGATAGCTGCCGATATGCGCTAGCATCGCGAGAGCTCTAGGTATAGGTATACCTTCTATTATATTCCGTTAGCTCAGCCTGATGGCTGTAAGAGAGATAGCGATAGGTAAAGCGATATGACGGGCTATATAGCCACACTAATCATCGAGAGCTACGGGCTGTCAGAGCCCGGGGCCGAGTGGCCCGTGAGAGTGCCGGAGCAACTCTGACGTGTGGAGTGGAGAGTGCTCCCTAGTAGCTCTGCTATTATTATTAACGCGAAAAATCGCGTTACACCTTAGTGTTTGCGTAGGTGTTGCAGCTTCAGTTTCAGCCTGTCGATGAAACTCTGCGTACGTGGGGAGACCTTGAGCCTGTGTTTGGCTCCAGCAACGAGCTTGTGGGCTACGACGTAGTTTTCTGTGAAGTATCCGGGTCTAGAGGATGAAGTGGAGACTGCCTGGCTCGACGGGAGTGCCACTGGGTTCGGCTGAGGTGCTGGCAGGCAGGAAGTTGTGGTTGGCCTCTAGAGACGATGGAAATGGAAAAGCCCCAGGTGATCCTTAGTTAGTTGCAGCTGACCGGTCTCCTCGTGGATGATGGAGGGTCTAGGCTTGGTTCCAAACAGCGCGTCCAAGTCAACTTGTTGGGGATTTCGATAGACAGCTGCCAATTTCGTCAATTGGTATTTTCTACCAGCTCGTTTCGTTCTCGGCATTAGTTCAGTTCAAGGGTTGAGAGGTAAGTGGTTTTATTCTACCGAGCAATCTTCTGCTTCAGTTGTCTGTTCTAGGAGATGTCCCGAGCAATCGCCTGCTCCAAGACTGAGGATGGGGTGAAACCGAACGAGCAGTCGTCTTCTCCGTTCGGGTGCTGTAGGAAATGGATTTCGAGCAATCGTCTGCTCCGAGATCCAGAAAAGAGTCAATACTCCAAGAGGTAAGTGTAGACTGAACTATTTTATTATGAATTTCAGGGTTTTTATACATTATATTTTTCCGGTTGCCGTGTCAGCATCAAGATTATTCATCCGGTGGTCGTCTTGCAGGCTCAGCAGTAGAGCGGATGAAGGTGTTCGCTGACTCTTCGTTGTTATTTTTATATTGTTTAACGAGCATCGGGGATGCCCGTTAGGATCCCCAAGAAAATTCAGAGATCGGGAAAGAGAGAGAGGC